ATCCGCACCAGTACCGTGTTTAGCGGACGCGACTTCTACATCTGGAGTTTCAAGCTCGAGCTACTACTACAAAACGCGCAAATCTTCTGCTACTTTGACGGGAGCTACGCTGGCCCCACCAGCGACACCGACGACGCAAAAACGCAATACTACAATGAGTCACTAATGGCGTATAGCGTCCTCCTTCGGAACATGGCGCCGACTGAACAGCTCGGCATCCGTCCCTACAAAACCTTCCCAGCTCCCGCCCTCGCCGCATGGAACTACCTCAACAAAACCTATCAACCCAAGGACTCCGTTTCATCCAGCCGCCTGCTCCAAGAACTCATGGAAGTCAAAATGGCGCCTGGCGAGAAGGCCAATACTTACATCAATCGCTGCCGCAGCGTCCGCGACCAACTCCTAAAGCTGGAAAACACCATCTCTGAAGACATGTTCGTCACCATCGTCCTCCGAGGACTCGGCCCACACTGGAACCCCTGCAAAGCTCTGCTTCGTCAACAGGGCATAATCTCCTAAGCACACCTCTGCGCTACCCTGCTGCACGAACAACAAGACATGGACTTCAATCAAGAAAAAGGGACGCGCCGCGAACAAATCGCCTTTTATTCCGATCGCGACCACTGAAGAAATCGCGACATACGACCACGACAATACTACCGCAAGAACTGCAAAATCTTCGGTCATTCTACTGAACAATGCCGATCCGGACCACGCAACAACTCCGCGCCGCACAACAACTCTGCTCAAAATCCAGCCCATGCACGCCAGGCCAGCCGACCGTCTTCGGACCATCGGTTCGCCCCGTGCCAACCGCCGCAAACAGACATGCAGCGGCAACCACAGAACAACGCTGTCCGCCACGTCATGGGCAACATGGCGATGCGTGTCCGACGCCGCACCCGCCGCACAAATCGGCAACATCTCCGTTACGCCTCTCCGCCTCCTGAAGGGCAAGAAATACAGTTCAACAGCTACAACAATCCGTTCACGCAAGACGGGGAGTTCGTTTTCGACGAAAACAAACAAGACTGGAACCTGCCCACTCTACTGCTGGAATCGCCGCCACACGATCCCCTGGACTCCTCACGGGATTCCCTACTCAGTCCAACGGCATCCAGCGGCCATGACTCTGACGATGACGTCGTGGAGGTCACCAGTGGCCAACGTCACAGCCCTGGCATCTCGGGCCTTCACATCCTCGGCCTCCACACAGCTGTGTCCCGTCCGCCTAAAGCGATTGAGCCCAAAACCCCACGTCAAGCTCTCACCGGCCCATACGCAAAGGAATGGCGCGCTGCGATGGATGCTGAAGTCGCCGCGTTAGAAGCTCGTGACACCTGGGTCCTTGCTGATCGAGCTGCCTTGAAGGGGAGACATGTCCTCTCCGGCAAATGGGTGTTCCGTGTCAAAACAACTGCCGACGGTACCATCGAGCGCTTCAAGGCCCGTTGGGTTGTTCGAGGATTTGACCAACGACATGGCGTTGACTTTGATCAAACCTTTGCCCCCGTGAGCCGTCATACCTCTGTACACATCCTCCTCGCCATCGCAGCAGCTAAGCATCTTCCCCTGCGCCAAATCGACGTCAAAAACGCTTTTCTCTACACCCCCGTCAACGCTCTCATCTTCGTCGAACAGCCTCACACCTACGGCGACGGCGACAATCGCGTGTGTCAGCTTTGGAAATCGCTCTACGGCATCAAACAGGCGCCGCGACTCTAGCAGCAGTACCTCCACCAGATCCTGCTTGACATCGGCTTCATTCAACTGCCCCACGATCCCGGAATGTACCGTCTTCACTACAACAGCGACTACATCCTCCTCACGGCGTACGTCGACGATCTCCTCTACACTGGCACCAGCAACGACCTCCTCGCTCAGTTTGAAAAGAACCTCAGCAACCGCGTCGAAATCACCAGCACCAACCAAGTTACCCAGTTCCTGGGCCTCAACATCTCATACTCGACTGACGCCATTCACCTCTCCGCATTCGAGTACGCTGAAACGCTTGCCACTAAGTTCAACATTCCACCCACCAAACTATCCACTCCTTACCGCAGCCCAGCCACCCCGCATCTTCCCAACACCACACTTCTCAACCCATCCGACCATCAGCTATACCAGCAGCAACTCGGCTGTCTCCTCTTCGCGGCTGTCACATGCAGGCCTGACTTGTCCTACATCTCGAGCCAACTCGCTCGGTATGCCAAGCGGCCTGAAGGGGAGCACATGCTGGACTTACAGCGCGCAGTGCAATGCTTCATCTCCACACCACACATCGGCCTCACCTACTCAACTCTCACGACCCGCTCCTTCAACCTCGTCGGCTACGTGGACGCAGATCATGCCGCTGACCCTGCAAATCGACAGTCCCGAACCGGCTTCCTCTTCCGCCTCGAGCCCACCAGAAATTGCGACGTCCGCAAGCTTCAAACTTCACTGCGACAACCAAAGCGCGACAAAAATCGCGAACAAGCTTGGCTTCGTCAACCGCACCAAGCACATCGCGCTCCGTTACTTCTTCGTCAAAGACGAAGTTGACAAAGGCAAAGTCATCTTGACTTACTGCCTCACTGGTGACATGGCAGATGACTTCCTCACCAAGAAGCTGCCACGTCAGCAGTATCATCACTGCAGAAACATCTGCGGCATAACCAAACGCGTCAAGACTTAGCTCCTCCAGGAATGAAGGGGAGTGTTACGATATGGAATAGTTCTAAACATTCTTGAGTAACAAACCCTTAACGCGAAGATGGCTGCAGCGAGGACGAAAGACCAAGCGACAAAGACAGTTACAAGCAGAAGGAATTTGAAGTGCAAAGCGCGGGAATGTTCAAACGGTTGCCGAACCGCATACGGTTACCGGATGCACGGTTGTGATGCCGCACCTAGATTAGCCCTAAGGGGAATGTACCCCCTCAGAGTACATGGCTAGCTAGGACCTTTCGTATTCCACTGTATTCCTATATAAACCCCTGTACCGCATTGTTATAGTCACTTCTGTCGAGAATCAAATCTCCTTCTACTGACAGAGTCCGTACCCAACATCACTTAGCAAACTTCCGCTGCTACACTTTCTTGCGATCAACCTGAGACGATCCTATGCATCACAGGCGACCACTTGGTCCGGGCGCGCACTTGGTCCGGGCGCGCACTTGGTCCTGGCGCGCACTTGGTCCGGGCGCGCACTTCGAACGGGCGCGCACTTGGCCTAGGCGCGCACTTGGCCCAGGTGCGCACTTGGCCGAGGCGCGCACTTGGACCATGCGCTCACTTGGACCAGGCGCGCACTTGGTCCTTGTGCACATTTGGTCTAGGCGCGCACTTTGACCAGGCCCGCCTGCCTGCCGGCCCGCCACTCCGACTCCGCTTAACCTATATCCGTGTGCCTCTAGCTGTCCGTGACACTCCTCTTCCTCCTCCTTACCTCTGCCGCTCCTCCTTCTCGCCGATGCATCTGTCGTCGCCACTTTGCCGCCTCTGCACCACTGCTGATCCCGCTAGCCGATATGTTGAGAGACCTGCACTGGGGATCCTCGACTGATCTATGGGGGGTTACGGACATGTTAGTGTGGGGAGGGGGAGTGCACTGACCCACTTTTGGAATAAGGCCTTTTATGCAAGTGGTCTAGTGATTGGGATTCTGATATGGTATCTAAGCAATAGGACTCGGGTTTGAATCCTCATGTGCGCACATGAGGTAGAATGTGTGGTGACGTGTCCTGGGCCTCCAAGTGTTGGGGGTGTCGAGTGACATGCACTGGGAATCCTTGATTGATTCTAGGGGGGTTACCGTATATGCATGTTAGCCTAGGGGGTTTTGGGTGCAATGACCCGCATTTGGAACAAGCCATTTTATCCCAGTGGTCTAGTGACTGGGAATCTGACACGCTACACCTGCCGAGTGTTGCTTATTGGAGAACCACAAATTGTTGAGTTTGGTCAATCAATCCCACTATATAAGATGATTTTGAATGCAAATGATGTATGTCAAATCTATGAATGCGACTTACAGGAAGCCGATTTCCGTTATTTGAAGATGCCAGCACATACTAGCGCTCTGATTGGAGGAATGACGTGCTAGGCAGCTAGGATAGGAGCCTTCTCCTCCTGGAAGACTCCTCGAAACTGCCAAGGCGTTACCTTCCTCGCCCAATGGGATTGGTGCAGGGAGTTGGTGGGGGGAGGGGAGGGCGGAGGGGAGAGAAGAACCTTGCCCATTTGTTGCGAAATGTCCTTTCGCGCCGATCCCATCCCATCTCAAATGAGCGACCCCCCCACAAACGTCCTCTCGTGCGCAGATGTTACTGCTGACAAGAGGCTAGTGCGCAACAAATGCGAAAACGAATGAACCCTCCCGCCAATCCCGATTCGTCTGATGCATGGGAGGATGCGACGAGATCGGTGATTGGTGAATGCACCTCTCCTGTCGCGTGTGCAGATGGGTTGAATCTCCCCTTTCCGCGACGGTCCGCGAAGGTCCCTTTCCCTCTCGCCTTGGGCGTCCTCCTTCGTGTCGTTCGGAGTCGCGCGAGTCCAGCGACCCAGAGCCAGCCTGTGTGCGAGCTTGTGTGCCTGCGTGGCTGCTTGGCGATTCTCGTTCTTTTCAAAACCCAGCCTCGAGCACAGTACAGTAGTATGACAAACTTCAATGCCATGCACCTCCCCATGATTTTTCCCAACCACTGAATCAATTGATTGCTCGCCTCCTAGACCACAAGAGACCTGCTCGCATAGCCCGGCGCGCGGATCCTAATTGTGTAGCCGTGCATATAACTTCCGTTCAGCACAGGCAGTTGATCAATTCAACCAGTCTTCGTTCAATCAAAGCTATGATGCTCCAGGATCGCCCGCCACCTGTGACCTGATTCTCCTCTCGTTCCTGTGCTTGTTCGTCAAACATTGCGTAAACGCTTCGACAGTTGCGGTCTCTTCCCTCTCAACCAGGCCTCGAGCCTCCTCTCCGCTCCGCGCGAGCGCGTGGCGGCGGGCCCTCCATGACCGCCCCACCCGCTCTGCTCGTCGCTCGCTCCGTCTCGTCGTCCGATGTTTCTGGCGGGAACCTTCCCGAGGTCGCCTGGGAGCACGACGCGACCTCGGGTGCGGGCGACGGGCTAGGTCCAAGCGATGGATACTTTCTGAACGACCCCTCCAGCAGCTTCCGCATGTGCATCGACGGCATGACCCTCTCCCGATCCTCTGCGCTTCCGGCGCCGGCGCTTGTGACTGCGCAAGCTGACGTCAGCGCTCACCCGGGAGCCGCACGGCAATTGGAATATCAGGGCGGCGGAGGCGGCGGCGGCGGGAACGGCGATCTGTTTTACGACTGCGACGACGCGTGGATGCGTGCGGATAACACGTGGATGCACCTTGATGATCACTCCGCGGCGCTTTCGCACTTTCTAGACGGGCTACCGACCGCTCCAATTGACGCTTCTGATCCCCCAAGCGTGCCGATTCAACCAGGTCCCGGCTCGACGGAGCTCGTAACGAATGCTGCGCCATCTGCGGCGGAAACGGGCGCGTATATCCTCGTCGACGGTGCGGCCACGGCTGTCGACGGGCAGCGCTGCGCCGCAACTGTAGGCGGCTGCGATTGGTTAAACGACATTCTTCCTGAGTCCGGGTACGGCGGGCAGCCACATCCGCCGGGAACTGAGCTGAATCAGGAGCACGCAGTGGGAGTTCCGCCCACCACTGATTCCATGGACTTGCAACCTGCGCATCAAGGGAATGTGGAACCTGCACCTGGCAGCGCCAGTCCCCCGCCGGTCCTTTCCGCTGCACATGGTGTCGCGGAGGAGAGCGCTTTCAACCCGGTTGACATGCAGGTACAACCTGCCGGCGGTAACTATGACACAAGCGCCTCCTTGCAAGCCGGTGGCAGTGCTCCCGTCTTTCCTACCGGCGCGTCGACTTCCCTTGACGTGACGGCTGGTTATGCTGTTCCGAACCCTTCGCGCGGAGTGTGGTGGACGCCGCAGCCTGCCGCACCTGCCTCCGGCGCGGTCGCATGTGAAGCGAACGAGGCTGTGCGTGTGGCGGACGGGGGGGGCGTGGCAACAAGAAAGCGCCAGAGGGAGCCGACGACGAAGCAGCAGCAGGTTTCGCGGACTTCACACTCGCACGATCTGCATCAGCAGCAGCACCAACAGGTTCCCAGTATTGGTGAAGCGAATCGCGCTGCTATCGCGTCGCCTACCCGCGCCAGGGGTAGCAGCAGGAGCAGCAGCAGCGGCGGTGACGGGAGCAGCAGCAGTGGGGGAAGCGGGAGCACGAGCAGGAACAGCCGCGCGGATGGAGCGCTTGTCTGCGCCCTCAGGCGCTGCCTGAGCGCGCATGCGCGCAAAGGCGCGGAAGATTTCGCTTCTAAGAAGGCGGAAGGCGCAGCGGAGGTAGCGGCGGAGGTGCGCAGCCGGGGGGCTGCTGCTGGGACTGGGCCAGCAGCAGCGAGCGGGGGACAATCAAGAACTGCCATGGTTTCGTGCGGCGGAAACGCTATATCCGCTACTACTGCGGGGAGAGATGGCGCTGTGCAGCGGACAGTGCTGTCCCAGTCGCAGCCACGGCCCGAAGCATTGGCACAGCCACCTTCTCAATTCCAAGTTCTGTCACAGGCGCAAACGCTGCAGGAGAGACAAACGATTAATGTCGCCCTTCCACCTGCTTCCACTCCCGCCGTTCCCGCCGTCGCTACTGCAGCCGTCCCCGTTTCACAACGTCCTGCGGCCCCCGTTCGTGTGTCTCCGCCGCCTGCTCCCGCAAGTCGGGCGTCACCTCCAACCGCTGCACCCCGCGCCGTTGCCGCTGCCGTTGCCCCAACCCCGACTGCCGCGCCTCCCGCGACGTGCCTCCCGCCAACTCCCGCCGCTAGCAGCGCTCCCGTCGGACCAGCCAGGGCGGCCAGCACAGCGGGCGGGGGAACCGAAGGTGAAGGGGTTGGCGAGGCGGAAGGAGGAGAAGAGGGCAGCTGGGAGGACGAAGAGCAGGAGCGGAGGCGGAAGCGGCTGATGCGCAACAGGCAATCGGCGCTGCAGTCGCGGCAACGGCGGAAGAGCTACGTGTCGGAGCTGGAGGGGAGGTGTGCGGCCCTACAGGCAACCATAGGGCAGCTCCGACAGGTGGTGGCCGTGACCGCGTACGAGAATGGCGCGTTAAGAGACGAGCTTGCTCGCCTGCACCAGATGTGGGCTGCAGGAGCAAGCACCACCGCTGGACCCATGGCAGGTGCCCTGGGTGTCGCCGGAGTTGCTGGTGTTGGGGCGACTGGTGGCACTTCCAGCGAAGAAATGAGGGGGGAGTTAGAGGTGGAGGAGGGGAAGCGGGAGGGGGGCAGTGTGTCGGGAGGAGGTGTGCGTGCTGATGGAGCAGAGCCTGCAGTGCTTGAAAGCGGTACGTGCCCTACCAACACTACTAGCCCGCCTTCTCATGGTTCCTAGACCATTGTGCCAACCTGTTTTATCTTTCCTTTCCCGTCTGCACTGGCTTCTAGCTCTGTCTAACTCCTGTATTCCCTTGTCCGCCCTGTAATGTCATGTGTGCTGTGCAGACTCCCTGCCGTCGGAGTCCCTGCTACGTCACCACCGTCATCTCAGCCAGACCACGGCCTTCCTCCTCACCCTCTTCTTCCACTGGGCGCTCTTCCTCTGGGTGCTGCTGCCGCAGCAGCAGCTGCAGCACCTCCCCCCCTTGGCCTGCTCCGCTGGCCTCTCCCTCGCCTACCTCTCCCTCCTCTGTCTCGCCCGCTCGCTTCTGCACCGCCTGCCGCAGCACGTCCCGTGCAAACAGCAAGTGCGGCAGCGGCAGCGCAGGCGACATTTCCTGGAGGGCAAGGCGCCAGCTGCTCTGTCTCTCCTGCTCCCAGCAGTGGGGGAAGCTCTGGTGCGTGTGCATCGGCAGCAGCAGGAGACAGGCAGCCTCAGGCTAAGGCAGTCACAGGGGCAAAAGCAGCCAGGCAGAGACGCAAGGGGCGGGTGTGAGGAAGGTTGGAGCCGGAGGAATTGGGCAGTTGTTGCCAAGAAAAGCAGGGGTGCAAGGAATGGTGGAGTGTGGCCCTCTCGTGGAGGGTGAAGGCAGCGCGATGGGGTGTGCAGTGCATGGTACTTCAAAGTTTGTTTCATGAATAAGTGATGCAGGGCCTGTGAGACAGACAGGGCAGGCTCGAAGAGCTTGTGGTGTCAGAGTGACCTGCTACCACAAGCTGGGTGCTGTAATTTTAGACCGAGTGCATGTTTTACTCTTGGAAGGATGGCTACTTTCTTTTTGTTTTGTGCTTTCTTTCCTTCAATGTGGATATATTCTACTCACCAAAACGATGTGCCGTGTTACATTGAACAATCCAATGTTGTGCACAGGACAAAACACGAATCATACCTGTGCTCAAACATGAATGATAAAAGGCGCATTTATTACCGTACCACTGGAAGAACTAAAGATGTAAGTAACACAGCCACCAACATTTGACGTGGACAAAACACTTGAATCAAGCGAACGTTCGTTTCACCAGCTCCACATTCATGTTTTGGTTTCAGCAGCTTCCTCTCTGCTCTGCCTGTGTGGTGCACTGCCTCTGCCAGTCCATACCGGGGCGGGCATGGATGGTGCTGCTGCCACTGATGCCAGTCCATGCCTGGGACTGCAATCTGGAAGGAAAGCCAGTGCAGACAAGGGACAGTGATACGGTATGGACCAGGGTCCAGGACCATCGCCACCACGCACGGCTGCATGTGCTAGCTGTCATTGCCCACCCTAGTAGGTTTGATTGTTACCGTCAGGGCTGACGTTTCAAATTAGGCCTCCCTGAATCCGGGAAAAAATTTCCCCCTGTATTATGGGTGCACATTTTTCAGAAAAACATCACCCTGATTGCTCAGTGTTGGAAAGTCTGAGAATAGGAATGCAACGGAATGATGAAACTAGGAAGTGTGGAAGTACAAATATGCAACCCTAACAACTGTACTCCCTATTGTGCTACTCACTGCAGCCTACAAGCATAGAATTACATTTGACACACCCCCATAGGCTAAGTGAGGGGCATCAAAGCAAGCAAGGTGAACAAACGGTCACAAGACCAGTCAAAGCAAGAAACAAGGCAAGCTCAGGGTGGATCTCAAGGACACCACACAAATTCCGAGCGCAAGCAAACGGCCACAAGGCCAGTTCAAGAGTTCACTAGGATATAAATAGGAAACACAACAAGCAGAGCAAACAACAAGACTACAGCAACCGAGGGCCTACCTCAACAAGCCCCAACTGCACACAGAACCTGTGGTGATCACCAAGCGCCAAGGCCTTGGTGAAGACGTCTGCAGTGTTGGCCTCTGAGGCCACAAAGTCCAGGCGTGCCTGGCCGCGTCGCTGCAGCTCGCGCAGGAGGAAGTACCTCACGTCAATATGCTTCACTCTGCTCTCCAGTCGAGGCTCTCGACACAGAGGATCATGGCCTTGTTGTCAGCGTACAAGGTCGGTGCAGAGCGAGGCCGCTCACCAAGGTCGGCGAGCAAGAAGGTCAACCAGCGAAGCTCCTGTGCCGCCATGGCACCAGCGTAGATCTCTGCCTCTGCACTGGAAGTAGCCACAGACGACGACCGTGTAGACCTCCACGACACAACACCAGCTCCCAGACTGAAGCAGTAACCCTGAGTCGAGCGCTGAGTCTCCACGTCGTCAGCGTAGGAAGAGTCGCAGTGACCAGTCAACCCCACTGGCTGAGTCCCTCCAAGCACAAGCCCCATGCCTGATGTAGTCGCCAGGTACTTCGCCACCCTCACAGCAGCTGTCCAGTGGACAGGGCGGTGTCTCCCAGTCGCAACAAAGCGAGAAAGGATGCTGAGGGGAAAGGCGAGGTCCGGTCGAGTACAAGTCATCAGGTACATGAGGCAGCCCACCAACTTGTCAGAACATATATAGCTTATGCTGTTGTGTAGGCTATAGTGGGGTATCCCATAGGGGGTACAACCCAATTAGGGTTTTCTATATGTACTCACCTCATTCATAGTTCATTCATTCTCGTTCTTCATTCTTCTCATGGTATCGAGCAGGTTCCCTTGTGGGAACTGTTCCTAGGGCCCACCGTTTTTTTCCTGCCCGGAGCGCACTCTGCCCCTACCCGAGTCGCGCTCCCCTCTCTCTTGGCCCCTAGTGGCCCCTTTAGCCGCCCGTCACGGCCCTTAGACGCCCGCGCGCCGCCCGTCCCGGCCCCTTAGACGCCCGCGCGCCGCCCGTCCCGGCCCCTAGACGCCCGTGCGCCACCCGGCCCGGCCCCTAGACGCCCGCGCGCCGCCCGTCCCGGCCCCTAGACGCCCGCGCGCCGCCCGTCCCGGCCCCTAGACGCCCGCGCGCCGCCCGTCCCGGCCCCCTCGACGCCCGCGCGCCGCCCGTCCCGGCCCCTCGACGCCCGCGCGCCGCCCGTCCCGGCCCCTCGCCGCCCGTGAGCCGCCCGTCCCGGCCCCTAGACGCTCGCGCGCCGCCCGTCCCGGCCCCTAGACGCCCGCGCGCCGCCCGTCCCGGCCCCTCGACGCCCACGCGCCGCCCGTCCCGGCCCCTAGACGCCCGCGCGCCACCCGGCCCGACCCCTAGACGCCCGCGCGCCGCCCGTCCCGGCCCCTCGACGCCCGCGCGCCGCCCGTCCCGGCCCCTCGACGCCCGCGCGCCGCCCGTCCCGGCCCCACGCCGCCCGTGAGCCGCCCGTCCCGGCCGCGCACCGCAGTCCCGGCCCCACGCCGCCCGTGCGCCGCCCGTCCCAGCCGCGCGCCGCCGTCTCGGTCCCCACGCCGCCTGTGCCGCTGAGGAGCTGAGCCGCCCGAGCCGCCCGAGCCGCCCGCACCGCCCGAGCAGCCCGAGCCGTGCTGCCCCTCAGCAGCACAACCGAGCCGCTCAACAGCCGAGCCGCCCAGCAGCCGAGCCGCCCAGCAGCCGTGCCGCCCAGCAGCGGAGCCGCCGAGCCGCCGAACCGCCCGGCAGCCGAGCCGCCGAGCCGCCGCGCCGCCCTCCTTCCGGGCCGCCCGACCTGTCCAGTCTGGTGAGCACAGCGCCCTTTCACTGCACTGCCCTCACCCTACTGTTTGCACTGCCAGTCGTCTAGGGTCATGGCTACCCCTAGTGTTCTAGTCTTTGACGCTGAGGGTCGGGCCATTGACTTTGAGGTCTGGGTGGATGACCTGCAGCTGTTCTTACAGTGCGATAGGGCAGATGGTCTCTCTCTCTTTGACCTCACCTCTGGCGCCTCCACTGCCCCTGCTGCTGACGCCGACGCCACTGTTCGCTCCCAGTGGGCCACGCGCGACGCTGCTGCACGTCTTGCTGTGCGTCGCCACCTCCCTACCTCCGAGCGTGCACACTTTAGTCAGTACAAGAGTGCTCAGACCTTGTACGACGCTGTAGTTGCGCGCTACTCCTCCCCTGCCACTGCTGCACTGAGCCGTCTCATGCTACCGTACCTCTTTCCTGACCTTGCTGCCTTTCCCACAGTCGCTGACCTCATTACGCACCTCCGCACTAGTGACACTCGCTACCGCGCTGCACTCCCTGCTGACTTCTGCGCCAAGAACCCCCCCCCCATGTACATCACTCTTTACTACATAGTCACTCGCCTTCCTGACTCCCTTCGCGTAGTCAGGGACCACTTTCTCTCTGTCTGTCCCACCACTCTCACTGTTGACCTCCTCGAGAAGTCCCTCCTAGCGGCCGAGAAGAGCATAGTCGCTGTAGGGGCCTCTCGTGGTGACCCGCGCACCCCCATCTTTGAGGGGTGTTCCCCCTCCCCCCTTCTGCCCTCTGTTGCCTCTGCTGCTGCGGCCGACCTCCTTGGTCTTGAGTCGGTCGGTGTGGCGTCTGCCCCTAGTGGGAGACGCCGCTCTGGCAAGGGCAAGGGGGGCAAGGGCGCTGGAGGAGCGAGCGGGGGCGGTGGAGGTGGAGGTGGCGGCAGTGGGGGGAGTGGGGGTGGCGGTGGGAGTGGAGGTGGGGGTGGAGGAGTTGGTGGCGGCAGTGGAGGCGGAGGTGTCGGCGGCGGTGGCAGTGGGAGCGGGGGTGGCGGAGGTGGCGGCGGCGGAGGCGGAGGTGGAGGCGGCGGCAGTAGCGGAGGCGGCGGAGGCGGAGGAGGCGGCGGGGGTGGAGGTGGTGCTGGTCGCGGGTCTTCGCAGAGGAGTGGCTCCGGTGGTGGCTCGCGCCAGCAGCAGCAGCGTGGTCGTGACACCTTGTCCCCTCAGCAGCTTCGTGAGTGGTACACTGCGCGTCAGCGAGGTGGGGGTTTTGGTCCGTGCTCCTACGTTTTGCGCACCGGCGACCGTGCGGGTGAGCAGTGTGGGGGTCCCCACCCCACTCAGCGCTGCTTTGGCCGCCTGACGGACGCGTGGCGTCACCAGTTCCCGGAGGCCTCAGAGATCCCTCGTTGGGGTGACCTGTCCAGGGCGGGTGTTGCCATCTATGATCTTGACTTTGATGCTATTCTCTCTGCCATGTATGCTGTGTCTATTAGTGATGAGGGTGACTGTTACCGGTGTTTCCCGCCCGATCCGGGTATTGAGACTGCTGCTCTAGGTCCTGGTGAGGCTGCTGCCCTAGGTGCTTGCGACGCTGCTGCCCTAGGTGCTCGTGTGTCTGCGTCCTCAGGTACTGGTGAGTCTGCGCTCTCAGGTACTACGTCGGCTTCGGCCTCCCTCACCTTCACCCTTGACTCTGGGGCGTCTCGCTCCTTCTTTAGGGACCGCACCACACTCACACCGCTGAGTCGACCGGTTGCAGTGTCTCTGGCTGACCCCTCTGGGGGTCCTGTCCTGTCTCGCTTCTCCACAGTCCTCCCGTGTCCGGCGGCTCCCTCTGGCACCCTGTCTGGTCTCTACCTCCCCTCGTTCTCTACGAACCTGGTGAGTGGTGCTGACCTACAGGATGCGGGTGTACACCAGTTCACTCCTGCGCGTCAGCGGGTGACGCACTGTACAGAGGCTCGCACAGGCCGACACCTGGCTACGTTTACCCGTCAGCCGGGGTCGAGCCTGTACACACTGACCACTGCGTCTCCTCCCGTTACTGAGTCTGGTAGAGTCGCTTCGTCGGGTCAGGTGTTTGCTGCT